TGGTATGTATTCATCAAACATACACTCCTCCTTTTCTAAATTAACCTTCAAATTATCCTGAATATATTTTTTAACTGGCAACCAATTACTATCAACTGAAATAGAAGGAGACCAAATATATATGTATATGTATATATATATATATTCTTTCAAAGACATCTCTGTAAATATCTAATATCATTGATTGTAGTAATATTCCTTTACCACTTCCTGAAGGTCCTGTTATAATTTGACTAAACGGTAATTTAGGTGCTACTTCATACTTAGATTGTTGAAAATCATATTCTTTAACATTGATGGGTTTAACTATAGGAGTATTCATTATTACTAATACATAGAAAAATTATATCGTTATTAATATAAGATGAGCGAAGTTTCAGAAGAAAGCAACGACAAAGGATTTCGCATTAATGCTAAAGGTATATATTGTATCCCCTGCCGTTGTAAAAGACAATTTTATCATAAGGAGACTACAACTGTTAAAGAGAATAACATAATAACGACTAATACTGTTGTTGATAAAAGAAATACTAAATTTGGTGGTAGAAATGTTAGCCCTGATGAAACAGGTATATTCCAATCCGATAAGCAAATGGAAAGTGTTGAAATATGTAGCACCGGATGGAATGACAAAGAAAACAGAATTACGCCCGAAGAATTAGAAGAAAGATTAGAGCGCGTGGAAACAGATATTGATTTAATGAAAAAAGATATTGATGAAACGAAAAAGGATGTAGAAGACATAAATAAGTCTAAAATTAGAATGGATTAAAGATTAAAACATAATGTAGAATGACAGGGACAGTGTGCCAGTTTTGGAAGAAGGAGAAGAAAACCCCCAGTGTTTCACATTGGATGGGCTCACGAAAGGGAAGTAGTGTTTGAACATTCAATAGCATCTCACAAGCAGATGCTTAATTAGTTTGTTAAGTCCTATAGGAATTGGCTTTATTATTTCTATTATAAAGCGAAGTATATGACAATATACATTGATAAAATTGAAGTATCATTCTCAGATACTGATAAAACTGAATATATTTATTGTTGTTTGGAAATAAGATATTGTCCATTATGTAAATCATGTAAAGAGAAAGAAAATTTTATAAGTCATCAAAAAAGCAAAGAGTTTAATATCATTTGTAGAGGATGCTTAGATAAACAGAATAGTTATAGGAAAAACGCAAAGTTTTAAAACTTTTAAAAATATTTTGAAACCTTATATGAGCGATATAGATGATGTTAAGACCGAAGCAAAATCAACACGATTTCAAAAGATATTGGATAAGTTAGAACTAATAGATAAAAAGATTGATGAATTAACCAATAAACCTAAACAATACAATAAGCCAGTAGATAAACGAAGCGATACATACAAAAAAACGAAATGCTTATGTTAATAGATTAAACAACTGTGAAATAAAACAACCGAAACAAGAAACATTAGATTATTATGGTGTCAAGTTTGATGATGTCAAGAGAGAGTATGTGTATATTTCTGTATAATATATATTAACCTGTATTGTACAAACAACATTTAAAGACAAAATGTCTTAATATATTAGTGAGTAATGGGTGTCATTAATGTAGATGATGTAAGAGCAAAAAGAGAAGCGGTAAAATACAGAATAAATAACTGTCGCAACTGCTTATTACAAAGAAACACTGTTAAGGACATATTTATGATAGAAGAAGGGTTGAGTAGAAAAATAAGCGAATATATGTGTTGCCAAAGGTGTCAGAGATTAATGAACGCTTTAGACGATGAGGGTAAAGAATTTGAATATCACTGTTTAAGCAAACTTGAACTCAATTGTTATTATTTCATTAAAGAATATCCCTTCCCAGATGAAATGTTATTTAAAGATGTAATAATAACAGGTATGTTTAACAGCTATGAAACTATAAAGCATACAAAGAGACTATACAAGTTAGTCAGAGAATTTTATGAATGCCTACCGTATGTGGAGAGCAGATACATTATGATTACGAGAGAAATCAAAGGAAGAAAACACCAAAAACAACCGTTAGATTGTCTTTCTTTTGATATATTATGCAATATTTCAAAATACTACGAAACAGACGAAAACCAAAGCGACATCAAAATGATTATGTCAGAAGTTTATAGAATGGCTAAGGTAAAGTATTTGGTTGATTGTTATGATTTAGGGGTTTTGG